TACGCGTCTATGTTCCCAGACACGACTAGACTGTACGCAGACATTCAACAAATATAGAGGAGACATAGTTGACACTTCACACGACACATTTTTGACATCCACTAACGCTATCTATTGATAAATCGAATCCACATATCTATTTGTATTTAAATTAATTACTAAAAGTGTCATTGAATTATAATTAATTGTGTATATTTTATTTTGTACACTGTATAGTTTATTTTATCATAAAAGATGCTTCTTATAATTTAGTAAAATGTTTCATAACATGTCAATACAAGGATATGGGATGGCACTAGATTAAAACTAACTTATTACCTTTCAAAGAAGTTACCAGTAAAAACGTGCACTATGTCTATTCTATTTATTTCTTAAATGTCTATGTCGATATTTATCTGACCTGATATTTTATTGTTAGTTGGGGTCATGATACTTACCGGGTCAGTTAAGTTGTACTATGCATAAGTACTATGCAAAATGTTTACTTTAAAATGTAACGGTACTTGTAATCTTTGTATATAGAAGATTTTATATAAAAATGTAGTTTTTTTTATGCGTATTTTCTCTTATAAGACTTTTATAGTAAATTATTACTTTTTTATTCCATTTCTGAATTTGACGAATTCGTAAAATAAAATGTCTGTTAAAATATTTTTTATAATGGTACAAAAACTGTAATTTTCATGAATTTAGTTAATAAAAATAACCAAATATTAACTTAGCATTAAAAAGAGTCTGTAGATTTAGTTTTATGATGTAGGGGTTTAATTTTAATACGGTTTTAAGTAATCTTGTAAATATTTAAAATTACGCACATTATAACAAACCAGTAAATTGTTAATATTAATTCATATTTACATATATTTTACAATGTTTTTGATGTATTTTAGTTGCGAAAATTGTATAAAAGCTTGTAGAGTAGTTATAGTTGCAAGTAAACAATAACAGATGGCGCTGTAATTTTGTAGTTTAGAAATTAGTTCTTTTTTTAGTTTATTTTATATAACAAAGTGTAAAATAAATCAAATATGATATAATGGCTTTTATTTTTGCTTACATATTTGAGAATCGCTGATTTTCAGGTAAATATTACTTTGATATGGGTTTGTGGTTAATTGGCGGATACGAGGAGAGAGGCTTGAAAAAGTAGAATTTTTTTTTTCATGCATTCCTAATAGAAATAATTTCGCTCACAATTATATCGGAGCAAAGCAGATCATTTTAAAAATCAACCTTTACACTAATGAAATAAAGTTTGATTTAACTTTGCAGATTCTTATACGCTTACTCTTGATAATAAATTACAAAGAAAATTAGACTTTATCTTAATTGAATAAAGCTTAATTTTATTTAAGGTACCTCTGATTTCTATGGTCTCCTGGTACATAATACTGTTACTTCTTTGATAAATTGTCCCCCAAAAATTCGTAAAGACTTCCAAAGAAGTAACCCCCAAAAGGATCCCCTCTCCTTAGTATCAGCCTGTTATTTGTGTTAATATTGTGTTTTTCATACTAAAAGTTTTCTATTATCTTGTTAACAAATTAAAATAAACGATAAAGTTTTAACAAATTTTCAAATTTCTGTTATTAAGATATTTAAAAAAAACGACCTAAAACTATTGCTTTGTTAAGTTTTTGTTTACTTTTTTATTATTATAATTACTATTAGTAAACTAGTTTTAGACCGACTTCTCAAAAGGGTACCTCCTTTCGTTTGTATGTTTTTTTGTGTTATTTCTACATTGTTAGCCCTTAAGTTGAAAACGCCCTTTTCTTTAACTTATAACCTATCAAACTTTGGTGTTGGCATTTTCTATTTGTTTCTACCAACTTTTATGATATAATTGAAGTAATTTATAACTATATTATTTATAACACGGCTAAAACTCACGTGGGAACTCCGTCGCGACGCGAAAGCGAATGAAGCCGGCATACACTCACCCTCAAGAAGGACCCTCTACGGGTTTGAAACTGGTTGGTGCCTACACCGAAAGTTCCCACGTGAGTTTTAGCCGTGTTATAAATAATATAGTATGTCTCACGAAAGTTTTATTAAGTTAATTTATAACTGTTTTTGTTTCAGAATTCTAAACACGAAACCCCACGCTACGTAGAATTAATTACACCTATATTTATTGTGTGAAATTTTTATATTTAGATCACACACTCCAATCAGAATAATCATCAGCAATATTATAACAAATTATACTTTATACGTCTGTTCTCAATGTAATTGTGGTTGGATTGTTTTAGTATGATATTGTAATATTTCCTACTAATATATACATATAAAATCAAGATTGTGTGTACAAGTGTGACATCTAAACGAGAATTTCCGAAAGATCTTTTACTGAAAATGATTTTTCGTCTTAGATTGTGCATCTATAGTTTAAATATCTATGGATATTTTTTTTAATATAATAAAAGGTGGCAAACTCGCAAGCGGCCTGAATCCACCGAAATGGAAAGCGACTGCACATAAACATCCGCAATTGCAGCGTTGCCTACCCTTCATTGACGGAGACGCACATAAAGAGGACATTTCCTCTTCCTATGCGTCTCCACTGTCAAATCCACTTTTCCTGCACATCCTTTTCTATTAAGAAAAGGCTGGAAAGGGAAACTAAAATTATAAATACGTAGCATAAGTTTTTATCCAAATCATATCTAGTCCCTTGTCACAATAAGCTTTGCTTTTTCATTTTACGCACATATTACAATTAAATCTATTCGGAAATAAATTCAATGTTTTATTGTAACCGATTTTTTATTAATTATAAACGTTACATGGAGGTTAGCATTATTTAATAAGCCAGGGGTGGCAAACTATCGACGCGCGTGATATAAGAAAACTCGTGTTTTGTGCAAATCATTCAATAATTAATTTAAACAAACTGATTTTGGTGTTAGACAAATATGAGTTTGAGAAGATCAGTCAGAGTCAGAAAGGAAAATAACATTTAATATACATGGCGGCGCTCCAAGTGACTATAATGCTTCAGAAGTGAATAGTGTGGAAAGAATTATGCGTTTGTGATCCTTCAGAAGAGTGGCGTTGACCAGATTAACTGTTTTGTGATTTAATTCTTGTATTTGTATTTTTAGAAATAATTTTGTATTAGTGTCTTGTTATCTTAATTTATTTATTAATAATTTATCTTAGAACTTTTAATTAATAAATAATCCCAAGTAGGGTTGGCGACAGGCAGGCGGCCAGCCGCAAAAAATAGTGCCGAATCTAAAGGTTTTTGAGACCTGATGATGATTCAATAATTTATTTGTGCACTATAAAAATAGTAGGTCTGTAGGATTACGTGTTTCCAACAAAATTATTAAAATCAAACATTGCTTTAGAAATTCACGTCGATGTAAATGTTTGGCACCCCTGCTAACAGCGATGTTTTAATCAACGTCGTATTAAAAGTATTTTTATACAGCTGATATTTTTGAATAAAATAACTTTTTTCTAAGGGAAATAAAACTGTGAAATATACATAAAGTATATACTGTTTGTGTTTATAAGCAAGATTTATGGTAATTATTAATTACAATAAATTATGCTTATTAATTAATTTAATTATAAGATTATATTACTTTAATTTCATAATTAATTAGTAATTATATATTTTTTTAATTTATATACACCACTCGAATAGATAACACTAATCTGAAATTAAGTTAACACAAAACTTTTTTTATTATTCTTAAGTTTTTTTATGTACAAAATATAAAATGACTAGCTTTCGCCCGCGATTCCGTTCGCGTGGAATTAAAAAAAACAAAGCTGAGAATCCTATGTGTTCTTCCAGACTATCCTCTACATCTATGCCAAATTTCATCGAAATCCATAGCCGTTTAGGCTACAAACTCTAACAAACATCCATTTACTTTCGCATACATAATATTCGTATGATTTTAATGAGAGTTTCGTTTAAATATTATTTACCATAAGCTTTAAGATATATAATTAATAAAATAAAATAGTTTTTTAAGCAAATAATCGGGTATAATTTACTTTAAAATGTAACACTTATTTTGTAAACTTTATATGAATTTTTACTTGCAAAAATTGTTTATATCAGTAAAACAGAAATTTGAAAATTGATATATATTTTTAATCTGAATATTCGAGTTCTGAGAAATGTGATTTGGAAACATTTTTTTGTATTTACTTGTAAATATTCCAAACAAATTATTTGACCATAATTCTAATTTTAAACAATTCTATTACAAACGATGTTTTATTTTTGTAATAAAAAATATAAAAAACGTTCATACATATTGTTTTACGTGTTTATATTGTTGAGAATTTCTCACATTTGTGAGATTATATTTGTATATTTTTGTATTTCTATTTTATTTAAATTCGTTTTAGAATAACACGATTATTATTCCGTTGTACCTAAGATTATAAATAAAACAATTATATACAACTTTGGAAGTTTTATTTTAATAAAAATACGTTTTTTAAATAATCTCAAATTTACAAAAATGCTTTTATATACATTATTCTTTATTTCATATTCCCTAAACCTTGTTATAGATTCACTTATTACATAAAAAATATTTTCAAAGATTCGATTTTGTTCCTCTCACCAATTTGTTTTTGTAATGCCAAGAGTCCTGAAACAAATGTCAAAGAATTAAAAAAAAAAACAATTTTTAAAACATTAAAATACTAGCTTTAGCAGCGACCGCCCACGTGGAATTAAAAAAAAGTTAATTAGTCTATGTGTTCCAGACATATAAACCACATTTTATCGAGATCCGTAAAGCAAACTCTAACATACAAACATCCAAACTTTCGCATTTATAATATTAGTAAGATATTGAAACGCGTGATATTTAATATTTTTATTTCGCCATTAAAATATTTATAATAAGACTCGATTAGAGCTGAATATATCTTACAGTAAACATTTAAAATCGTCGTCGTCACAAAAAAAAATACTTTTATAATAAATGCGAAAGTTTATATAAATGTTTATTAGAGTTTGTAGCCTAAACTGCTGAACATGTCTAGATGAAATTAGGCATAGATGTAGAACATAGTCTAGAAGAACACAGGCTCCTTACTTTTTTTATAATTCCAAGCGGAAAGAGTCGTGGGCGAAAGCTAGTATTTTGTACAATTACCTATATTATAGTTAATAAACGAGAGGGCTAAAGAAGTAATGTTGAACGTCTTTTTAAATACAAAATGGCGATTGAGTCTTCCTATTAAGAACAAGTGTAAACTGTACAACGTCAAATTGAATCACATAAAGTAACCTATAAAGTGGTACAAAAATGCAAAAATACTCACCTTAAAAGATATATCTAGATTTTTCTTCTTCTTAGCTGCGGTTTCCACTTCTTTAGCGACAGTTTCCTGATCCGTCCCCTCCACTGACACGTACCGGCACTCGCCGCTCGCGTAGTGACAGGTTATAGCTTTGCGGGAACTCTGAAAGTATTATATTAAAACTGTAGCCTATGTTACTCGTTGATAATGTAGCTTTGTAACTGTGAAAGAATTTTTAAAATCGGCCCAGTTTTTGAGTTATTTCAATATATACAAAAATATAAATCTTTCCTCTGTTTTAGTAATGACTAAACTAAATGAAAAAATGAACAAATCTAATCATCAACATCTGTATCTATCTTTCTTTTATGAAAAACATTAGTAGATTTTTGTTAATTTACTAATATTTCCTTTAACCATTCCAACTAAGCTGTAGGCTTGTGCTAGGATATGGTTCACCACAATAGTCGAATGGGATTCGAACTCTCGACCGCAAGATCGGTAGTCCGCACCATAAACCATTAGACTATTGGCACTTGATAACGCTTAATTGGATGATTGGTCTGTTTGTAATATCAGAAACAAAATTACAGATTTGGGGAAGTTACTGATAACGAAAATCGCATTTACAATTTGTCTGTCTGTCTGTCTACAAGCTGGTTTGTTTCGCGTAATCTCCGAAACGGCTGAGCTGATTTTGACAGGACTTTCACTGAAGGGTAGTTGACATAGACATATTAGGCTACTTTTACATCTTAATATTGCGTGAACGAAGTCGTGGGACAGACACAAAAACCTGCAATATCTAGCACATTTCTTACCATTTACCCTAGTTAACGATACCGACCTTGGAAACATTGGGTCCGGAGCCGTGTATGAGCAGCGGGTGGAAGAACACGGTGTCGCCCGGCTCCATGGGCAGCGCCACGCGGCTGCGCTCCGCCGCCGCCTCCTCGCTCACTCCGTAGAACAAAAACTTATTCGAATCCTAACACAAAATACGCATAGAAGAATATTAACTACTTAAAAAAACATACAGACGAAAAGAGTACCTCCTTTTGAGAAGTCGGTCAAAAAACGGTTTAAATATTTAAATATTGTCCAATATATGCAAAAAAACAATTTACACTATACTAGCACGAATTTTTGCTAGAATGTGTCGGCAAAACATATAAGAGACTTTTATCGCGTGAAATAAAAAAAAATATTGCCAAAGTTACTTACACATAAATTAACCTTCTAACGGTGAATGCATTTTTAAAATCGGCCCAGCAGTTTTTGAGTTATTTAAATACGTAAGAAAATACCGAAATATATAAATATCCTCCTTTTCATAATCAATATAAGCTAGACTTTGCCTGCGACTTCGTCTGCGTGAAATTTAAAAATAACAACAAAGAAATGAAAAAATATAGCCTGTTACTCATAGATGACCTTTCCTTTCTAACGGTGAATGAATTTTTAAAATCGACCCAGTAGTTTTTAAGCCTATCCATTACAATCAAACAAACAGAGTTTTCCTCTTTATAATATTAGTATAAAAATACTAATATAATTTTATTTTCACGCGAATAAAGTCGCGAACAACAGTTAGTGTAACTTCTTTTCTATTAAATTCAAGTATGGCAACTGAAAAATTAGCAAAAAAAAAATCTATTTACGGTCGAATTTATTACAATTTTAGGTGGATTAAATATAGTCCCCGACCTTAGGATAGTGGTGTTCGAGGAGCGCGTGCGTGCGGTGCGAGCCCGGCAGCACGTAGAGGCAGCCGTTGTCGCGCCGCACGCGGTCCACCGCCGTCCACGACGCCACTATCTTGTCCGCGGGACGGAACGGGAAGTACCACAGATCCTGACCGATACATGCTCTACGTAATCTCACCGTAAATTACGTAACAAAACAGGGAAATTTACATTTTGAACGAATATGTATTTAATGCCACCAAAAAGAAATTATATAAATAATAAACTTTATTTCGAGCTACACTTCTTTTTTGCTCATAGTTTGTTAGTAACAGAAAAAACTTAATACCTACGTTAGTCATACATACATCTAAATGTTATTCTAAAATGTACAATCGCCTGCCACGTGCTTTATGCAGTGATTAATATATCTACAATCCAGTTTGCTGGCAATCATATGTAGAATGGTGTTGGGGCTGACTCGCAATAAAATGACTTAAAACTAACTTCTAACTCATTTTAACCTTTAGTGTTAACTTCAGGATAATGATGAAGGTTACCAACTGAGAACTGTACAGTTTAGCTATTTCCAAATATCCACAACAGTTCAATTATGTTTATCATACTAATACTTAGCACTAATATTATAAATGCGAAAGTTTAGATGGATATTTGTTAGAGTTTGTAGCCATAACGGATTTAAGCGAAAATTAATTAAAAACGGCTCAATTTACGCTTTTATCTTCCGGTGACGGCACCGACTAGTTTCGGACCCTTCGGGGATCCTTCTTCTTCTTCGTCACCGGAAGATAAAAGCGTAAATTGAGCCGTTTTTAATTAATTTTCGCTTAAAGTAATGTCTCACTATAGTTTAAACAATTTAATAACGGATTTAGGTGGAATTTGGTACAGATTATAGTCTTCAAGAACACAAGCTACTCACTTTTGTTTTTTTTAGTTCCACAAGGACGAGTCGCGGGGAAAAGCCAAATACAAACGGGCAACAAACTCAACTTACATGTGACATGGATGTATTTCGTGAGAGATATCAAGAGAGTGATGCATACGAAAGCTACGTGAGTGTGATAAGGACGGGGAGATTTGATTTTTTTATATTATTTATGCAAACGAGCAAGTGGTCACTTGTAACCGCTGAAATGGCGAAGCGACTGCTACCCAGACATTCGCGATTGCAGATGCGTTGCCTACCTGACGGAGACATAAAGAGGATATTTCCCCTTCGTACGAGTCTCCTCCTTTCCATTGTTTCTTAAGAGAAAGAGATTAGGTCGATAGTGTATTTACCTGATGCGGCGGATGTCTGAGCGTGCCGGCGGGCTTGTTGATGAACATGCAGTGCACTACTGTGATACTCTCCCCTATTAGCTGAGACACCACGTCCAGGAGCCGAGGGTCTTCTGAATAAGAGCTGAACTCCTCGTCGAAGTGGATATCATTGATCTGATATTAAGTAAAGATAATTCCAGAATAACATAGACTCTAGTATGAAATTAAATACGGACATCATTTCTTATTTGATCTCGCTGATATTTTACTGCCCCCTTCGACAAAGTAACATTCGATTTTCATCATTGCTGATCAAAAAGTTGCGGGCTTGTAACGTATACATTTCTATACGTTTTAAAACATTTTGTTGATTCTACAAGCGACATCACAAATCGAAAGTCAAGTCAAGGGGTCGCATTGTAGACCTTCTAGCATGTGTATTTCAGAATTAACAAGCGCGTTTATATTTACGACAGACAAGCTACAAGAAAATTGAAACGCAGCTACTGAATACCTATACGGCCGAATCCAACGTTGCAATTCTAAAGTCTGATTTTTTTGGTTGTTTCGTTTATTTTGTTATGCGAGAAAAATTGTTTTCTTCTCAAGGAATATTTTAGCATATTACATGTTAGCAAGTATAGTGTACCAGATAGATTAAGGGAGCAATCTTTAGCCAAATCGTTTTGGCAGTTTGGCCAAGATATTAACTAATTAAATAAATAAATAAAATAAATCAGAAATTGCAAAAAAAAATCCAAGCAAAGGCCTATCCATTTATACAGATCAGTGGCAGATGATATTGAACGTCAAAATGAAGTTTTGTGCTTGCAATTTTTTTTATATCGTTTCTAATAGTCTCGAATGTTCCGTGCCAGTGCTTTAATTATTAAAAGAGATTAAGATTAATGAAATAATTAACGTTCGAGTAGTAAAAATTAGGTTTTTTAATTTTCGTCCCATCCGTATTTTTTTTTTATTCTTCATTCTTCACTCTATAAGCTACAGTAGAAAGAATAAACCATCAAAGATGAACCATGAAAAACATCACCGAAAAAAAGCGCAAAAAATATTTTTCCGTTTTAAAAAAATATACGATTTTATCATAATTACTTAAGCAATGAGTAATTAAGCTCTTGAATGCTTAAGGCTGTTGAATTGCAAAATCCTTCTTTGCATAAATTAGTACAGCAGTGAACCATGCATTTTAAATATTCTGCGGCGGAAATGTACAAAAATACATCGTCATACTTTTATTGTTTTTAAAAAAGGAGATTGTTCTCATACAAGAGTTCTTAGTAAGTCACAGTAAAATAAATAAATCATACATTTTGAAATTCATGACTTACTGTGAGTTAAAACGACAATCACATATGTGCATTGAAATGAATACTGAATTTAAAAACACACAAATTGCACACATGCAGCCAGTGCAGTAGGGAACGCAATCGAGGCACTTTGTTCTTAATTTGTACTACCTTATAATAGTTCACTTTAAAATCTATACTTTTATACTAACATAATAAAGCATACACACACTTCTTTGTTGCCTAAGATGTCAACAATCACAGCATGTTTTTGAATAATTCTTTTTTTAATAAAAAGCCCTATACTTAGGTCACGCTTTAGGTTATATATTTTCACGCCATTAAACTTAGAGGGTAAATATTTTGAATAAAAACCTTAATGTGGGAAAGAGACATTAAGTTGCTGACGACACCAAGGAAGCAAGATTGCCAAGTTTTGTCATTTTGACATATGCAATTGACAATTTGACACATGTAAACAATAAAATAATTTTATGCTGATGAAATTGCACAAGGACAGCTAGCTGTTATATAAACTGATTACCAATACTTTTCGACCAAATAGACTGTGGACATTTTCGATTCACTATCAGATATACTTGTGCATTTACAGTGCAGAACTATTGTTTGTTTTTGTCAAAGATTAATGTGCATCAGACAGATCCTGTCATTCAATAGTCAAAGATGGTGAAAAATTACCTTGTTAATAACATCTTGTCCTTTAGCACCCTTTTCTGCTAACCCCGGTTCCTTTATAATTGTCATAAAGCCTACATCTTCTAATCCATTCACTATTTGTAGAAAACGTTTCCTAAAATATAAAAAAATGTGATATTATGACACTCCGGGAAAGGATATAATTCCTATGACACTTCTCGCTAAAATTGATTTGATTCAGTTAATAATGCCAAGTTTGCAAGCTAATATGTAGTAGAGTACTTAGTTATTTATTAATTACACATATCTAAACAAAATAATAATTCTATTCTATTTTTTAAGGAAATTAATTCAAATACATATGTATCTTATTAAGAAAAAATGATCAAATCACTCACTTGACAGTGTACAAACATTCAAAACTGATTAATCCTTTGATAACCAGGAAACCATTTTTGTCGTAATAATCCAATTGCTCCTTTGATAACACATATTTAGGTGTTTCTTCAGCATTAACACTAGAAAAAAAACATTATAATTCACTAGCTGTTGCTCTTTTCTTTAGCCTTTGATACTCAGCGATAACATAGCTTTTTAATTGTAAAAGATTTTTTATAATTGGATGAATGGTTTTTGAGTTATTCCATAAATACAATTTTTTCTTCTTTATAGTATTATACGATTTACTTTTTTATGTTTAATGGTTGCAGGTTGCCAATGAAAATTATGTGTTTGTAAATTCTAGAAATAACATCTAGAATAATGCAGTAATAAATAGTAATTAATAATGTAAGTAAAAAACTTACTTCTTTGGTCTTACTAGGTTTTTCCGATGAACAAATAAATCCATAGTCGAACAAATTCACAAAACGCAGATTAAACAATGTCGTAAAACTGTTCAAAAGATTTAAATTCAACAAATAAAGAGAATAAATCACTTCGAAATACCCAAAAGTAATGTTGAATGTTCCTCTCCGCACTTAAATATAAACCGTATTACGTACTTTTATACTCTTGTTTTTGTTGTTACGAGTGGATTATACTTACTTATTATGTATTTAAGCATTTTTATTCATGTGCAGTAAGATTTAATTGTTATCATTTACATCCATTTGTATCATTAACATGTAAATAAAATAAACGTCACGTATTGTGGATGACAGTGACAGATGACAATTAACCACTGATCTTAAAATAGACTAAAGCAGTGGTATTTTTCGCCTAATTGATTTTCGCCATTTTGTCACTGATGGTGGCTGATGGTCCCTGTTGGTAACTGTGGTGAGGATTCGAGTTAATAATATAGATAAAAATGACTGTCAGAAATATCAACAGGCGCATTAAAGTTAGATCGTAACAAAAGCTGTAATTTCCAAGAAATGACCTATCCATTAATAGAGATCCGTGCAAGTTCCTGCCAAATGACTTTGACAGCTCTTTAAAGGTTTAAAAATCGTTAATTTTTTTTTAAATGACTGATTAAATGTACAAATAATTAATTATATAAAAACAATACAGAATATTTAATCGAAAATTTCACGCCTCTAGTGAATAAACGTTCTTGTAAATTATTTCTGTTAAGGTTGGGGAAGTTAAGGGAAAGTAGATTTGGTAGAAAAGGGACGTGATATAAATATCCACTTTCCATATATCCCCTCCTCTTTTCTTAATGATCGAATGGAGGCAACATAGTCTAGGATCTCGAATGAAACATGAAGTAAGTAATTTCCAGAGCTAAAACAATTATATTACGAAGACAGTGTTATCTCAGTTATTTTTAAATGAATGAAAGAGATATCAATAGATTTTTGGGCATTCGCTACTACTAGACTATCGCACAACTATTGTGCGATAGTCGATTCTTTCGCAGCAAATACAACTGTTTAGTCACACAACTAAAAATCGAGTAGTATGCGCACCTCCCTATAAGCTGATAGGAATTAAAGCGAGACTACACAGTTGTGCGATGGTTTAGTCAAAGGTGTGCGTTCTAAGAGGTCTTTTAGTTATGCATGAACGCATTAAAAGACTGCGTATTGCAGTTTAATATGCGGAGGTTTTTTAATGCCGAAGATGCAAGAAGATAGTATTATAATCTCTTTTTTAAAGTAAAATATAGGAGAGGTAAAGGTAAAGGAATAAAAAACAAATAGTTACTTCGTTTTTCAACTTCTTAAAATGGTTTACATTTCTGTACATAAAACACTGTACTGCGTATAATAGTTTAAAATTAGTACACACTTGGCTTAGAATATGCTCCAGAGAAGACTGGGATATACGTTTTCTTGTCCACAATCATGAAGAAGAAAGGTTTGTTCGCGTCAACGGTTGTTGGGAAGCTTTTGAAGGAGAACTCTACTTCAGTCGCCGCGCTCGCTATTGTACCTTCCTCAGTCACTTCTACTTCTGCTTTTTGGATAAGATTAGAAATATATAGAGGATAATCAGCTATTTTAGGGAACGACGCTTGACTCGGATCAAATATTGACCTCAAACCCATATCTATCAACAATTCTCTCAAATTATTTAAATCGGATGCTATCTTGAAACGTGGCATTCTGACGACTACGTCCATTGGTTGTTTCTTAGCAAAATCTAAGAAAATAGATTTCAGTGTTATCTTCCCTATAGCATCAATAACGTTACTTAACTTCTCATCAGCGTAAGGAACGAACAGTAACATAGAAAATCTGTTATCACTGTAAGGTAGTTCGACAACAGTCGCGTTGATTTCATTATTAAATCTTGTATTATAAACGTCTGTTACAGACATTAGGTTGACTGTACCTATTTCATTCGACATTTCATCGTAGAATGGCATCTGTTGTGTTCCGTTTACTGGGAAAGGGTTTTTCCAAGTTCCTTTAAAACGAAGTGCGTCGACTATCATCATAACGATGTTCTCCAAATCGCTAGCAACAACTATTTCATCTATAGCTCCATTAGTTGCTGTTTTTACATAGTTATTGATTGTCGCGGCTACATATTCGTAATTATCTGTGGACACTTGTTTGATATCACCAAGACCTGCTCTCCTCACTTCTTCTTGGAAGCGTTCATTCACTGGGATATTATCAACAACAAATATCGCTGATGCTCCTTCTAGAGTTGTCTCAGCAGTTGGTGTGTAAATCTCTTTAGTTACATCGAAGAATTTGTTCATAAAACATTTATGACGATGCAATCTTAGTATTTTAACTAATTCTTCGTATGAATTATCCTTGGCCCCTAGTGAAGTATACGCTAGTAACGTCCATGGTGACAATGTTGAAGCGATAAAATGGTTATCGGTGTCTTGAGCGATTCGTTTCATTAATTCTGTTGAAAATTCGAATACAGACCTTGATAAGAATGGTTTCGCTTTTTCAACGCTGCACTGAGCTAATATAGATGGTATAAATGCACAAATAAATAATGTTAGTATCGCCATTTCGTGCAAGTTCAACAGAACGGTTAAAACAACTGATACAGAAGTAGCCGCTTTTAGTGAACAGGTTATCGAATGACCCGGCGTTTTGATAAACCGAGCAATGGCTGCTTATTTGGGAATACCAGGAATATATATCGTTTAACCCCGCTTCGTCTGTTCATTTTTTTTAAATGTATTGTAATTTTAATTCATTGTCTGTTCCTGAGTCACCTTTAAGAGAATGCTTCTATGATCACCAAAATATGTTTTTTTTAATTATACGATTTACCTAGTTTTAAAATAACTATAGTAAAAGCATATGCTAGCAGTCATCTACGAGTAGAGAAAGTAAGAATTTACTAGAAATAAAAAATAGAACGGTCATTGCTCATGGCCTTTTTACTTTCATGATAACAACTACTAGTTAACAATAAATCAAATTAGTTTTTTTTTTCTTTAAATGTTGGTGCAAATTTTACTAAAATTTGTCCAAATTTGAAATATGACAGTTGGAATAGACATACTGCTAGCGCCATCTATTGTAAATTATAATCCTTTCTTCTAAATTCTTTCCAATGTGAGGTCTCAAAATTATTAATTTATATTAGTTCAATTTACGAAGCTGGACAAACAGACGGAGGAATTGTAATAAATATAAATTCAGTATTTAGTGTAATTTTTTTCCGTCTACGTATGAAATAAGGAAATACAAATGAAAATACGAATATGTGAATAGACAGGACATTTAAGCTTAACCATCATAACACCATAGATTAGCATAGTTCTTTTCAACATCTTGCCGTCTCAAGGTTCAGCGGGCTGTGTTACCCTCCTCTCGTGTTGAGGGGTGACGCAAAGAAAGGGGATACCCTCTTTCTGTGCGTCCCATCCTCTGTCGTTTATAATTAGGCAATGCGTTTGCGGATGTCTATGGGCGTCGCTTTGCTATTTCGGAGAATTTAGGTATCCACTTACGATACAAAAAAGTCGCCTCTATAAATTATTATGTTTGAATCTCTTTTAGACGTAATCATCGAATTATGTTAACACTGGCAAATATTTTAGGTTATTTGTTTATCTTACTAATACTCGTATTATAAATGCGAAAGTTTGGATGGATGTTTGTTAGTTTGTAGCCTAAACTGCTGAACGGATCTCGATGAATGTCATAGATGTAGAGGACAGTCTGGAAGAACACATAGGCTGTTTACTTTTAATTCCACGCGGACGGTGCCGCGGACGAAAGCTAGTTATAACTAACAATAGCTCCACAGGAAAAAAATACAGAGGGAATTCTCAACGTTTTAACCGACTGAAATAGAGGTTAATATTTTTCGCGCATATATACATATTTTTTACATGTGGGATTTTACGTGTGTAAATTCCATTGTAGTCAGTCTACAGTCAAAATACTGCACCGATTTTGAGGAATGAGGCGTCATACAATTCGTGTACTTCATCATCATCATCTTTGTCTTTATCCTACTCCCGTAGGGTCGGCGCAACAGGTTTTCGTCCTCCAATTAACTCTATCATACGTCATCTCAGTCATCACTCCCTTATTGATCATGTCACCTTTCACACAATCCATCTCTTTATAGGTCTCCCTCTACCAGTGTACCACGATCATAACTAACGTTCTCTTTGTTACATAGATATAAATACAATCTTACTAATATTATAAATGCGAAAGTTTAGATGGATGGATGGATGTTTGTTAGCGTTTGTAGCCTAAACGGCTGAAGGGCTCTCTATATTATTTGGTACAGGTTTAGAGTATAGTCTGGAAGAACACATAGGCTACTTTTTATCCCTGGAATAGTTACGGTTCCCGTGGGATTCATTAATTTAGTTCTTTAATGTTTACTTGATCATTCTGCAACGGTTCAATATATCTTATTGAAATTTGGCACAGATATAAAATAAAGTCTGGAGTACACAAAGGATAAGGTTCATCTCCGAGAAATGTCCGGTTCCCGAGGGATACGTAACTTTTTGTAATTTATATAGTTTGTATGTTTTCTAATACCACGCGGACGAAGTCGCGGGCAACAGCTCGTAATTTTGTAAATTCTAGACATGTAAGAAAAACTCACGCGATAAATAACGTATAAATTTGATTCGCGTCTTGCCAGATTGAAAAAAAATAGCGTGTACATTTATTTTCGCACATTTCTAGAAGCAATTACGTCATTCTGAAAGGATACATCTGCGACCTCGGTTTATCAACAATGATATTAAAAGCTGATTGTTTAAAACAATTTGATGCGACCTATTTAACTTATACGTTCATTCAATTCTGATAAAACGTACTTAGTTAATTATTCGCTACATCATAAACATGATGTTCAGATGTTTCTTGTTAATTAATTTATTTCTTCTTGTATCAAGTTATAGATACTCTTGCAGTCATGCATCCGCGTTAAAGCTTATGAAAAGACCGGCTTACGAGTTTTCTATAAAGATTTTAGACAGAGTATCTCATGAGACCGGCGGCCATTTTGTCTTCTCACCGATGTCGACGTGGTTGCAACTAATGATACTGTCTGATGGAGCAAGAGGGAGAACATTAAATGAGATTTGGAAGGTGACAAGACATCACAGGATGAAATGCTTCCGACGGAAGATCAGAGACATTTTAAACCTTACGGATAAGGAGTTAAAGTTAATGAATAAAAGAAGCAGTGTTATTGTTGTGGATAAATTAATGAAAGTGAAGAGGCGTTTTAAACATGAATCTGAGAAACATAATGGTGTAAAAGTTTTGTCTGTGGATTTTAGTGAACCTGTAAAAGCGGCGGATAAAACGAATGCTGTTATAGAGTCTGCGATGGGGGGTTTAATCACTGAGGGGGTTTACCCGACTGACTTCAACTACACTGTACTTTTAATGATGGATGCGACGTACTTCAGAGGTGATTGGAAGTTCCCTTTCAATAGTGCTTATACAACTGTTAAGCCATTTTATTCTCATCTAGGTAAACATCTCGGTGATGTAAAGATGATGAACCAGATATCGTATTTCAATTTAATCGATATACCGTTAATTAAAGCTAGAGTTTTAGAACTTCCTTGCAGTAAAGACGATCGTGTTTCAATGTTAGTGTTCTTACCAACTGAAGGTACGGCATTTGATATATTCTATTCTTTAAACGCTATCAGAATGAGAGCTATTTTCAATTTGTACAAACAGAAAAGAATGCAACTCGTTAATGTGAAATTACCGAGGTTTAAAATTATTACTGATGTTGATACGTTGCCAGAGTTATTATATGATATGGGTGTAAAGAGAGTATTTTATCCCAATCTTGCGGATTTGAAAGGAATAAGTGATTATGGTGTTTACGCTTCTTTGATGTCTCAAATATCAGATATAGAAGTCATAGAAGAAGGGATCACAGCTAAATTCGTTGCAGAGTTTTTGGTTACAGATAAAAAAACCGTTTCGTTTAACGCAGATCGTCCATTTGCGTTCTTAATCGTCGATAAAAAGACAGAAATGATCTTGTTCGCTGGATCTTATAACACGCCTTCTTTGTATTAAAAATAAATATATATAAGTTAGCTTAAAAACGTTTTTTTTTACAATAAAACGATTTTTAATAACATAATCTTTTTATTTCGGACGTTAACTTTAATAAAATAATATCTCGTATGACTAGTATCACATTAACAGCCTCATATTATTAATAATACATTTTATTTATTATTAGCTAGCATTGTATATTCTATGATATAAAATAACAATTCTATTGGTGTTAAAATATTTGGTATAATTGGCATCTTAAATACAAAAATAACAACCATTTTATTTGTAAAGTAACCTAAAACGATCAATAAAATAACAATAAAATTGGTGCATAATAAATTCGATTTCAAGAAATAATCAATTTATATCTTAATGTACTTTTTACGATTTACACCAAAGTACAATGTCTTTTTTTATCTCACTAATATATTTGTTTCCTTTTTATTCACAACCACGATATAACATAGTAACGAAACAATTGTTTTATTTCATTCCAAAGGTGACATTAAGAATTTTAGCAATATCAGTTTTTAAATCTGTTATTATTTAATTCGACCAATAGATGGCGCTGTAAAAATTTAGTCACTCGATTGGACTAATAGATGGCACTGTAAATTTTTGGTAATTTAATTCGACAATAGATGGCGCTGTAAAACATTGGCAATTCTATTCGACCAATAGATGTCACTGTAAGTCATTAGTTTACTTGTTATTGGAAGGCAAACACCAGTATGAGTATGGGAACGGCGATGACGCAGGCCAGGTACACGGCGGTGCGCGGCTCGCACTCCGATACTATCACAAACTGCTCGTTCCATAATGAATCGTTGTTCCGGAGCGGCACTTCTAGAACTACCTGTAGATTATAGTTATATATATTTAGAATATTCTTTCTATTGTTGACAATATATTTGTTATTTTTTTTATCTCAAAATACATTTACATCCCAGACACATGTCTCTTAACATTCCTTTATTGGAAGTTGTTAATGCTAAATCTACACTAATAGATTCTTAATGACCATTAATAGTGTGCGGCAGTAAATTTTATGTAGGTTAAGACAGATTACAAGAATTTCCCCAATTTGACTGATGACTCTGTGTGTTGGTAACCTATATTCAATCCACAATTTCTTCTCAGAAATGATTGTAAGATGAAATAGTTTGACTTTGAAGGAGGAGAGAAAATGTAAAAAGGGTAAAATCTACTTTTTGTACATCTCCTCCATCTTTTAAAGGTAGAGGTATAACTTCTACAAATGTCTGTCTGTACACTGATTGCTTTTCTATTTTACCAAATCCCGCCAGTTTTTCTTTCACCACCATACGATATTAAAAAAAAATCAAACTGGCTATCGATAGCCAGTGATAAAATACACTCGTGTTATAAATTTGTAACAACACCATCTATTAACCGGATGCATCAACTTATACCTTCTGCGCGGAGAAGATGTCCAGTGTGAGGTCGCAGCGGTCCGTGGTGTTGGTGCACTGGCGCAGCGCCGAGCGCGCCACCTCGTAGCGCGTCTTCTGCAGCTCGAAGTG